TCATAATAAGTACATCTAAAAGAATATAGCACAGAAAGATTTAAAATAGAGTAACGTGAACATGGATAAGATTTTATTAGAATTAGAATTCTAATAACTTTATAAAGGAAACACTCCACAACCAATAAAATTAAACATAATTTAATGGAATATGAATGTGCTTATATTGTATGAGTACAATTAACTTTTAGAAAATATATATGCATTCATAAAATATATGTGTGTATATATGAATGCATATATATATAACCAAAATGATTAGAAGAAAATATATACCAAACTCATAATATTGGTGAGTGATTATGAATTATTTAAATTTTTTCTTAATACTTTTCTGTATTTTTAAAAATTTTATTTAGTTATTTTTCAAGTACAGTTTTCTGTCTATTTCTCTCTTCCCAGCCCACCCTGCCCCGCGCTCCCCACCTCCCTCCCCTTTCCACCCCCCTTAGTTGTTGTCCATGTGTCCTTCATACTTGTTCCTCCAAACCCCTCCCCTTTTTTCCCTTAAATTTTATAACTTTAATTTTAAAATATTAATAAGAAACACAAAATATTGTGATAAATGAAAAGACACACATGCTGTTGGATTGGGATACAGATGAAAATGTCAATTCTTCCTAAATTAATTCAATTGATCAAAATGTTTCTTAAAATTGGCTGAGATATTTTAATATTTTATTTTAAATATTTTATTTATTTATTTCTAGAGAGAGGGGAAGCGAAGTAGAAAGAGAGGGAGAGAAACATCAATGTGTGGTTGCTTCTCATGTGTCCCCCACTGGGGACCTGGCCTACAACCCAGGCATATGCCCTGACTGAGAATTGAACTGGTGACTCTTTGCTTCATGGGCTCGTGCTCAATCCACTGAGCTATACCAGCCAGGGCATATATTTTAATATTTTAAAATATAAAAGGTAAAAATAGCCAAAGAGTTCAACAAGAAATAGTACATAAAATATAATAAATTATTGACAATTAAAAAGATAAAATGAAATACACAAAATCATACCACTGATTAAGGTGATAGAATTATGAGTTAAATTTTTTTCTTATATTTTTCTACATACAATACATTTACCCCAATAAGCACATCTACATTTATTAATAATTGAAAACAATAGCTTACTATATTTTAAAAATCTTTTAAAAATTACAGTTAAATGATAGAATCAATTATGACTTTATTTTTCTTATATGTGGCTATATTCTCTAAACTCAACCTATAGAGTACGTATTATTTCTCAATTTAGGAAAAAAATTTGTGTTTAAAAAACTGTATTCCAACATCCATCCTCCACAGTGGTAAAAGTCGACCAGCACCCCGCTGCTCCAATTTAAATGTGTTTTCTCCTATACAGTCTTCAGAGGTGATGGGGAAAAGTTTCCGTTTTTAAACAACAGGTGATCTGACATGTCATCTTTTCTGAAAGAGCTGAAATGTGTTAGTCTAAAATTCAGCCTTCCTGTGAGTTGCTTAGTTTTCTGCAAGAGCATTAGTTTTTATTTTTGACTTATTTTGACAGAGTAGAGAACGTGTAATTTTTCAGAAGAATAAGATCCTCTTTGAAAACAGCAAAACAAATTAAGTGGAAGAAAGAAATTACTGTATTTCTTCAAGGATGTTAATATTGAAATGAAAAAATATTCCCTTTATTGCACACTTTGCTACAAGTTGTAATTACATATTTCTTTTTAAGAAGACAATCTAATCTCTCTATCCTTCCAACCAGCCAACCATCTATCCACCCATTATCCCCAGAAATTGTCCCAGGCACAAAGTTGTGTTTTTCTTTCTCATGCATATTTTTACACCCACCATAACTACATATGTAGGTATTCATAAGTAATATAGAACATTGCTTGGCATTTTCTACTTTACATACATATCAAAGATGTCATCATACACTGTTAGGGTTTGTTTTTTTTAACCATTCTTTTCCCCCTCAGCACACCTGCCCCATAACTAATTCCTTCTTTCTCAACTTCCCCATGATTATATATACAAAGAATGGACACACAAAGTCTGGAGCAAGTCTCAGGATGTGTTTCCTTAGATACTGATTCTTTTATTTAGATGGGATAGGTTCTAAGCAGGTAATGTGTTTTGCTTTTAATTTTAAAAGAGGTCCTTCAAAAAATGGCTAAGTGTCCCTACCCCATATCCTTACTTTCAAAATTATGTCCTTCCAGTCTGAGAAGTGCATTTTTACCATTATTTTAAATTTCATTTCCCTCATCACTCCTACTGAGGTGAACAATCTTTTTATACCTAATCTTCTGTGAATGACCCTTGTATATCCTTTGCCCATTTTTCAAATTGAGTTTTGTTGTCTTATCAATTCTGAAATAATTCTTATATGGTAAATATTGATGGGATTCAGGACACACTACCTCAGAGTATGGAACCTTGGCATATGGAATATATTAAACTGAAGGAATCTGAGAAACAGCACAGACAGGAAGAATTTCTGACCTTTCCCTGAAATAGGTCACTGACCCTCAGGTGAGACACACCCTCCCTCTACCAAGAGAAAAGAAGCCTCCTCGTCTCTGAAGATGAAGTGATGGGAAGAAATCTGAATTGGCTTGGCTTGCAGTGTTTCCCCCGTTTACTGCTGCACTTAGCTCACACCTTTTGTCCTGCCACAGTTTTCTATGATTTTCTACTCTTCATCAAACCTAATACAAAAATGCTGAGGTTTAAACATGTCGTCCAGTCTTCATTTCCTTCTGAAGGCTCTTGTGTCACAAAAAACTCATATTAAATAAATTAACATGTTTTCTCTTTTTAATCTGTCTTCTGTTGCAGGGGTCCTAGCTAAGAACTTAGAAGGGAAACAGAAAAAAGTTTTACTCCCCTAAATTATCACTCATTTGCCTGTCCCCAAACCTACAAATATGTCTTTTCTAAATTAACTTTTTAAACTTTTGCAATACTATTTTTGCCATATGTTTGTAAAGTTTTTATATAGTTAGATATTTTATTATGTACTTTTATGTATTTATGATTTCTAACATTGATTTAAAGTTTCTTACCCTCAGATTGTGTATATAACCTTTCAATTTTCTGGTCATGGTTCATTTTTCTATGTACCTTAGTTACCTTTCTAATTTTTATGGTAATGACCTATTCAAATTTAATAGTTAATTACTGAGTCAATTTTAATAATTTATATTTTGCTAAGACATCATTGATTTCATGTAGATTTTACATTACAGAATTGGTCGTGTGGTGGTATTATGAATAAATTACCTTGTGTCCATGGTTGGTCTCTCTCTCTTTTAATCAAAATTTTTTACTCTCTTTTTCCTTTAACAATCAGGCTGAAAAAAATTTGCTATTTTCAAAGGATGATCAGTTGGCATTTCTTTATCCTTTTTTGGTTTTTTTGATTCTAACTTTTCCTGTATCATTTCATCTTCCTGATTTAATTGTTCTTTAATTTATTATGTTTGGCAAAGGAATTATTTCATTGATGAATTTAAAAAGTCTCAACGAGATTTGGGACAAGGTAGTATAATTAATAAAATGAGATTATTAGATGGGGAAGGGGATCAAAAGACATGTGCCAGCTCTTTCCCTATGAAGCCAAGTATGCCTTTTAGTAAATCATTTAATCTGTCTAGCTAACAGTGTCCACATCTGTAAACTGAAGAGAGAATACAGAGCCTCAAGATTCCTGTTAGGTAAAGAATTATACCTGATAAAACTGATAAATATTATGGAAAGAATAAGAGATCTTGAATCAACTGAACTAGGAATCATTGCCTTTAGAAATAATATCTAAGAAAATTTAATATATCTATGATAGTGAAGTATGAGGGTGAGCTGTATTCATTCTATGAATGTTAAGGTCATAATCATAGATATTTCACAAATGTGAATGCCTTATTACAAGATATTTTTAAAGAAGGTACATCTAAGTCACACTGAAGATGACAGTGATTTTTTTAAAGAAAGAAAAAGTACCACGTTGTTAATCTCATCTTCATATTTCTTAGAAAAAAATAACCTGGCATTAAAATAATTCAAAATAATCCAAAATACTGCAAAAACTCTGTGCTCTTGCAAACAAAATTTTATATATATTTATTTACATATATACTAGGAGAATAAATCACACTGATAGATATGCAAAGAGTATGAGACCTGAGAGAGGCTAAAGAAGACTACTTTAAATAGTAATCCATTTTCTACCTTCAGCCTGTGATGAAGCTTTTCCATGATCACACTTTTATTTTTTCACTAAAGAGACCCTTTCCTTGTAAGACAGCTACAACTGGTAAAAACTCTAATCTACATCAAGTCAGAACTTACCTTTGATATTCTCATCATTTTTCTAATTCAGTCTTTGGAGCATGACAGACTAAAACAATTCCCCATTTCTAAAAATGGCTCTTTACATAGTATTTCGAGGTAGTCATCTTAGTTCCAAGATAATTTTTCTTGCAAGGAAGATGGTTTTACCACTCATGAAGACAATATTTTTTATTTTTAAAAAGTTCTATAGTGAAAGTTCACTAATTCTGACAAAGGGAATAGAGAACTCTAAATTTACTTATGAATTTCAAAAAGTATTTAGAGAAAATGACTGCATGATGGTGACATATGTGACCTCAGGGATTCTGTAGAATTATCACATACTTAATTTACCTCACTAAATTCTTGGAAACTGTAAATCATAAAAATTCTCTTGAAAAGTATTATTTAAACTAGGGGTTATTTGTCAAAATATTTTTCTGGATTTCAACATATCTTCAAACTTTAGCCAAAAGTCATTTTTGTATTTATTCAGAAATAATAAATGCCTAAAATCATTATTTTAAGGGGTACTGAAAATATCATTTACATTAATTCTTGGGGAGAATAAAGGGCAAGGAATAATTGGTAGAATGAAATAGACATCATACAAGGGAGGACAAATTCCAAGATGATCAAGGAAGCTCTGTAAAATTCAACGGTCCAATTAAATAATTGTGCAAGAGGAATACTTACGGATACAGTTCTGAAAGTCGTTCGGCTATGGCATAAGCTGTCGGGTCTCTGTCTAAGGCATACAGAGTAATGTCTGACTCTTTCTGCAGAATGGCTCTTGCGTGTCCTCCTGAACCAAATGTCATATCTAGGAAAATCTAGCCAATACAGAAAAAGAAAATTACCACTTAGCTTGAACAAAACTTACACTCCCTGGATACACGAATTTCTAGAAGCACATAATGATTTTCAGAGCTGATGGCAAAATGCAAAAAGTTACAATGTTTTGCCTAGAATTCAACTTGTTACACAAGAGATCTGGATCAATTATGAGTGACCAGTCCAAAAGAATCGGTCAGAGGACCAGTATAATGATAATCTCTGGTGCAGGCTGGCCAATTCAAGACAAATTTAGACTTTACTCCACAGCTCAAACGGCCACGGTGTTGTGCTGCCAGCTTTTTAGTGCTTTCAACACCTGGCTGGTCGTGATATTCCCAACAGTTTCTCATTCTTTGGAAATACCCTATAGTTAGTGTGGCTCACTTTACCTCAATTTCTCTAAATGCCTTATATTCAACATAAAGATATTCAAGAATAAATAAGAGCAAGGGAATACATCTAAAAATAAATGGTCAAAAGACAAATCTTTAAAAATCTAATCTGCAAAATTGACAAATTAACAAATCTGACTCAGATAAAAGCCCAAGGCTTAAACTAAAACAAATTCTAGCTTTGCCACTAAGCAGCTCTGTATTTTGGGGGAATTCGCTTAAAATTCCAGTGCTTTAGCTTTCTCCAGGATTTAGAGAGAAAAAAAATCTAGAAAAATGGCATCACTGATATTTACCTAATTGGTCAAGTGACATATAATTTCTCATCTAAACCAAGGCATTTTGAAATTGAAAGGCATGCCAGCAATAAAACAGGACACGATGGATGGAGTGTTACATTTAAATTCTGGATCATTCTAGTTACACAATATAGTTACCAGTAATTGGTTCTGAATCTACTGCCTGGCTATGTTATTTGGTCACGCTATAAAGGAAACAGATCACGGTTGGGCAAAAACCCGACCTGTATAAGAAACATGAATGAACAACTTTGTTGACTGTGGCTGATTTGGAAGTAAAGACACTCTCAGCACATCCCCCCAAAGTTATGCTCTTGATTTAATATGCTTTTTCCAATAAGCTTCACTGATGCTGTGAAAGTAAAAACAATTATGCCAATAACAATAGTGAACTATATGACAAAGGCATACACTATAAGCCAAAGTGTTAAAAAATTTTAAACACACACTTTTTAAAAGTCCAAGATGAGAAGTTCCTGTAATGGACTTGAATATTTCTCTGCCCTGAATGCTAATACATTGAGTGAGTGGTCAGAAACAAGGAACAATTATGCTTTGATTTTTTTTGATACCAGCTACCATGCTGAGTCTCAGCCTCTGAGCAAATCCTCAGAAAAGTGAGTCTACTATTTGGAGAATAATGTGGAGGAAACCTCCTGATAAAAATTGAGAGGAGGGGGGATGTAAAATACATTTTAAGAGAAGAGAAGAGTAAGAGAAGAGTAAGAAGAAGAGTAAGAGAAGTTAATGTGGTAAAAATGTACAAGCACTACATTTTAACATGAACGTGTTAGCACAACTTGACCTTGCATTTCCATCACTGTCAGCACAAAAGGCTGCACACATTTTTCCCCATATTAAACAGTAACTTTAAAACAATATTTAAAGTCGTATTGTTTGTATTAATTTCCCTCTCCACTCTGTATACTTATTTCATGTATCTCTGAGCACGTAAAAGTCTTCCATCACGCCTTATCCTGCTTGTAAAATTACCAGGCCTTTGGCATAATTTAAACAAATAACTTTTCCCAGCTAAAACTGTAAACCATTTTCTTGCTATGGCCCAATTTCAAGCTTTGTTATAACTCTGGATTTAAACTAGCAGTATATCAAATAAAGTAATTTGCATATGATTACTTTATGTCAAGCTAGGAAAGTCCCAATCAATATTTAAAAGAAAAAATACTCATCATTAAAAATATTCTGGAAAATGTGAGTGAGATGATGATTGTAATTTACATGATTATTTTTTAATATATCATGATTATGCCCTTGGAGATGTACTGACAATCAAGGACAGTTCCATAGGAAGAAATAAGCCATTATTTCCAGTCAAGTGTAACAAACAAAAAGTGATGGGGATTTATGAAACTACCAGTGAACCCCACCGTATGCCTTGGGTTAATAGGTGACTGAAGTCGTCAACTTTCATTTTTAAAATTGTAACATACATTGTTCATCATATATAATAGTGAATCATCCAGCGCTACAATTGAAAAGGGAGCCCATTAGTTGTTCTCTTCTCTCGGGTCATTAACTTGACATGAGACCGCATTTTTAAATGTGTACAAATTGATAACAAAATAAGAAGACTGGACAAATTTGTGCTTAACAATGTAGAAGAATAAATGAATCTGAACATTTCAAAATAATCCTCTCTAGGTCTCATCTATACATATATTCAAATATATATTATATACTTCAAACATATATGAAACTTTTTTTGAAATTACCCAATATAATTTATCTAAAAAGTCAAACTCATATTTGATACCACGAGTTTATTCTGGTAATTTCACTCATCACCTGTATAACCCTGTCCAAATCATTTCAACTCTCTGGGCTTCAACTGCTTCACATAAGAAATGGGGATAAAATGTACCCCCGTTTAAGCAGCTGGCTGGATGATGGATGAACTGAGGGAGGATGGACCCCAATCATGGCGTTCCCGGTGCAACCACAGAGCTCTCTGACTCTCTGTGATCCCAGAGCACCTGCACAGGTTAGAACAAAAGGCATCTCAGGGAAAACTAAGTGTGGTCACTGGGAGTGGTAAGATACAGGGCCTCTGCATAGCTCTGGGTGGTGTGTGTGTGAGTGTGTCGGGCGGGGGCAGCTGGTTACGGAGACTGGCTTCTCATCACAGGGAGCAGGGGTTTGGAATCGAAAGAAGGTGATTTAAAGGAAAATACACTAGCATATGAGAGAGGGTTTGTAACTATAATTCTCTAACTTTGCTACCAATTTTTAAATTTTAAATTTATTTTTAATTGTAGTTGACATACAATATATCACTTTCAGGTGTACAACATAGTGATTCAACATTTATGTGCCTTACAAAGTGATCACCACAGTAAGTCCAGTAACCATCTGTCAACAGACATAGTTATTATATCACTGACTATATTTCCTATGCTATACTTTGCATCCCCATGACTGCTTTGCTACCAATTTAATATGGTAGCATCAGTGTACAATAGTATCTGCTTCGCATGTATCTAGTGATGTAATATGAAAAAGGGCTCAGCATCCAAGGTAACTATCATAGAAATAGCAACACTCACTTATGTTTATGAATTCAAGACATAAGAATCATTACCATAGAACCATGTAAAATAGTTGCAACATATCCAACTTTTGAGTCATTTAATATCAGTGCATTCCTAATATAACAAATTAATTCATTAATAAACAGAACTTTTCTGGAACATTAACAATGATCTGTAATTAATAGTATTATATAACTCTACAATACCATGTTTCTATTTGCCAATCAGTTCTCCTTTACATTTGAAATGTTAAAAAAATGAACATTTTTTATTTTAGGTTAGCTCTTTCAATCAAATACAACTAAATGATATTTTATCCCAGATGGTCTTCTAAATATCATTGAAATGATTAGAGTCTACCTTTCACCAGGATGAGTCACACTTGAATGTCGTGCTATAGCTGTGCATCTGATACGGACAAGGTACAGATACAAAATTTTAGAGCTCAAGAGGATATAACAGACTACTTATTCCCCCTCCTCATTTTACTTAAGAGGAGGCTAAGGCCGAAGAGGGTGGCTGGTAGCTAGTTGAGTGCACAGCTAATACTAAAACCTAGCTCTGTCCTCTTCCCACTTTATCTCACAACACTCCCCCACTGAAATTACATAATTGAACTGAAATAAAAACAATCGTTCTTTGAAAAAGTATTTTTTCTTAATATGAAGATAGATATGGGAACTTTATATCTTTTTCAAACTTATTTTTCAATTATAGTTAACATACATCATATTAGTTTCAGGTAAACAACATAGTGATTAGAGATTTATACACCCTAGGAAGGGATCACTCAATAGGAAAAAATCAGAGTTAAATTCTGTTATTATACATTGCTCTGTCTGGTACTACACTCTCCTACCTCTCAAAAGCGAGTGGCTTTAAGACTTAGCTAAGGCTGCTCCCTGAAGAGGGGGCTGACAGAAATCAAGTGATTTACCAAAGATCATCCTGCAGAGAGTAGTAATTAGATGATCTGTTTCCAATCCAACAGTCTAACCATTGGAATTTTCAGACTGGAACAACACTGCTAAAATCTGACATGAAAACATTTTTAGCCATGAACAGTATGAGGGCAGCTCTTCAAATCTCATTTCCCTAATGTTGATTAGTCACTTCCAATCTGTGCAAGATTTTTAATAGTAAGTTCTCATCTGAATTTGGTAACAATGTGGCTGATTTCAGTTTAAAGTTTCTTCTTATGATCATTCTTTTCTGGCCATCATAAATTTTGAATTCTTAGAATTAAAGTACTTTTGAAAGAATTTTAGACTTTACCTATTTGCAGCTGCCAGCTTCATTTTCAAATACTAAAATATCTCAGCTATATACTAAACTTTCTGAATTCATTTTTCTGGAGGTGATTATATTAAAACACATGACAGTAATTAATAATCTGTATCATTTACTGACCATTCAGTATAATACCATCACAGCAATACAAAGATATTAAGTTGTGGGCCTTCCAATATGGTGAGATAATTTAGACGTGCACAGAATAACTACTAGTAAAATGAAATCAGCAATATAAGAAAGGTGTACATAACATTTTGTAAGGTGTACAAAAATAGATTTCATTTTAACGATGGATGATAGAGAGATAGGCCAAAATTCCGCAGCACCTGCAGGCTGAGCAGAACTTGGGACTCATCCTTTGTTTTCGCTCTCCTACTTTCCCCAAGGCCAATCAGTCACCAAAGGCTGTTGATTTTAACACATAAAAATACGTTTCAAATCTTCCCAAGCCTGTTTTTAATTT